CCTCCTTTACCCCCATACAACCTAGGCTCTCTTTTCTTCCCTTTCTCCTCTGCCCCTTTCGTTCCCCTTCCGCTCAACGACCCCCCTTCCAACTTCTCCCTTTTCTCTTTTACTTCTTCCCTTCGCTCTTGCTCCCCCTTAACTCCGTGCCCCCACTCGCTTTTTATTTTTCTCTTTCCTTCCCTATCTCCTGCCTCTCTCTCTTTCTCTCTTTCTCTCTCTCTCTCTCTCTCTCCTGCTCTCTGAACCAGAGCCGGATTCGTGGATGTTAAAGCCCGGGACAAAGGAAATGCACACGTCTTTATTACGAATGGTATAAGTATGTGTATTAAAATTACTTGTGCAAATATGCAGTAGTAAAATATGTGCAAGACGTAGCATACATATTTTATTCAAGCGATTTATTCCAATCATTTTATTTGTTCTTAGCTGGACCGTGTTCGATGTTCTAATGAATTATCTTTTTATGATTTTAAGTAAAGAATATTTTACAGTTTTTCTTTTACAAAATAAATCAAAATGATTAATATTTATTTAATATATCTCGCTTCATGGTAGTCGCAAAATTTGTCATCTCGAATTTTGGAAATAAGAATTCTCCATGAGATGTTTTAAATACTTTCAACATTAAGTATATCTCACCTGACCGATATAGAAAAAAAACACATTGTCGCAATTTCATTCACGCGTCCTGGATCGCTTTCTCAGAACGTCGAATCAGCTGTTTCAACGCCAGGGCGACGACAGTGACAGTTTTGCAGAATGAGACACGGGGAAAGCAAATCCTCCAAACCTCAATGAAACGAAAAAATAGATATCGCGAAACGTACACGTAAATCTTTCATGCACCTCCCCAGTTTTATCAGTCAGCAAAATTAGCTCGGCGCACTAGAATTAACGTGATCTATGATATAATTCATCCGTCCTCATGAGGGACAAAAGTGGAACGCGTCATTATAAAAAGCATCTCAATTGACAATGTATTCCCTGAAGTTCTCCTGTAAATTGCCGTTATTACCTAAGAGTGACGATGCGTAAATCATTTTTGCGTGTCATCAGCGATCCGGTGCTGATAGAGAATCCCAGCGTTCTAGGATCGAATCCGGTCCTGCTCTTGGTTCTATCTTCCGTAAGGTCCTCCACAAACATACACATGCATACACACACGCACGCACACTCTTGCTCTCCCCCTCGTCCCTCCGTCCCCGCTTCCACTCACTCTTGATGTAGGCGAAAATAGCGGGTCGACCAAACGGGTGAGGAAGAGAGATGACGATATCACGCGCTCAGCAGGGTAGCAAAAGAGACGTCTTTGTACCACGCTATCTTCGTCCAGGCGATCTTTCCTGTTTTCTCCCTCTTCTCCTCTGCTCCTTGCCCCTCCTCGCCCCCGCCGGGTCACCTCCTGCCTCATCGTCGGATACTCCTACAAGAAACGCTTCTTTGTTCTGCGCCTTCTCCCCGCGAGTAACACAGGTAGCTGCCGAAAACCGAATTAAATCCGCCCTCCTTCGTGTAAAACCGCCGCAATACACAGAAGCTTCCTGCTTCGCTTCTGCTCTACGTTCGCGTGCGACTCCTTCCTTTCTTCCTGAAAAGCCCGTGAAATCCCGTAGATCCGCTTCTTTCGACCACTTCGTGGCCGTGGCCGAATTTAAACTTCGAAAGAATTAACTTTTTCGACGCTCGAAAGAAACATTGAGCGCGATAACTCGATGCTGAGAGATGCGCATACATTATGTATTTTTGGTTCATTCGTACTTCCCGATTACGAATCTGAAATAAGTACGTATTGAGAGGGGAGGGGGAAGAGGATCGCCAGATTTCCGTCCACTTTTCCTGTAGTCCATACTATCTCGTGGCGTTTCTTACGAACAAAACACGATGTGATCCCTTTAATTTACATAATCCTTTACTATACACGACACGTAACGCACAGTTCAATATTCTCATTAAAGCTCTTTAATTTCCCATTTGTCGCTCTTCCAATCGTATTTCATCGATAACTCGGCTGCCTCCTAAAATAACACGAAAGAGTTTCCTCCGTGCTTCCTGGCCTGATGCAATCTCGTCACAATTTACGGCGAACAGATTTGCCGTCATGGCAACACTCTCGTCGTCGTCGTCGTCGCTGTCGTCGTCGTCATCACGATATTTCGCAAATCCCCGACTAAATGCTCGTACGAGTGGCACGGTAACGGCTGACGCTGATCGATCGTACCGAAAGATCCTTATCTCGGCTAAGAATAATTCGTCAAACCGGTTGGCCCGACCGCCGACACGGCATACAAATTTTTCTATATAACACGCCTTTGCCAAAGTGAAAATAGAGCGGCTGCTCGCGCAGGCCGCGGGCAGATTGCCCATCTATTACGCAAACATGGACTCCGAAGCGGAGGGTTCAACGGCTGAAGATGCGTTCCAAGTTTGGACGCATGGATCATGGTGTTGCGCGTAATAGGGGAGCCCCAGTAAATAGGGGGAGAAAGAGGGAAAGAGAGAGAGAGAGAGGGATCAATTTATTATTATCCCGGGGAGAATCCCCGTCAGGATGAACAAAGAAACGCGGATGGATATCGCGAAACGCGACGGTGAGAATTACGGCATGAACAGTGTAAGAGAGTATTAGCGGGCGTTACGTTAAAATTAAAATGTACAAAGCGAAGTAATCGGGTAAGAAAGATTCGGATATGGTAATGGAATAAGGGAAGGGAAAAGGGGAAAAGAATGTGGCTTTGATTGTTACTTGGAACAATCTTCCCGAGGATATTGTCTGAGTGTCAGAGATCGAGTGGGAAGTGGCAAGAAAATGGAAAAAAAAACACGGAAGAAGAAGGAAGACGGTATTGCTCTCAGTTTTCTATAGTTTGTCCTAATTTCTATTAACATGTAAGAGTGAAGGAGGGAGCTCGAGATACATTTCCAGGTTTTTTTCCTTCCGATACGATCACGAACATTTTCCGATCTCTCCTCCGCGCTATTACAGTTCCAACCGCACGCTAAAAAATATAATCAGTCCAAAACATAACGCTGAGAGAGAGAGAGAGAGAGAGAGAGTGTCTCGGTCGGTGCAGCGCGCCGTCGATCGGGACACGAAAGCGAGAACACCGCAGGAAACCGCAAGATAAGGGATGGCGATTATTACATCGGGGTAAACGAACTTGCATACGGACGATAAACGTTCCGCACACAGGCCACGCGCAGTTCGTGCGTGCACGGACGTGTCTAGTCGAGAAGGTTTACCTGCGGTCCCCGGGCCCTCGAAGCCAAGCGAGTTTTCGTCGGGCCCGATGAGATGCGGTCAGGGGTAAAAGACATTAACGGGAAGAATTGACGCGGTCGATTGATCGTTTGAAAAAGGAAAGACGTCTATTTTTTGTTGCCTATTATCCTTCGCGCTGGGACGCGAGAGAAGACGCAAACACATGGCCGATAATCGAGATACAGCGAAGCTAAGCTAAGCCGGATATGGTTAATTCCGACTGTCAGCGCACGATTCGAATCATTAAAAAGCGACCTCGATGCAGTGTCTCGAGGAGAATACGCGAAAACTATTTAAACGATAGAAGGGATAGAGAGACCGGTGTGACGGCACGAAAGAAAATGGAATTGTTGTATCGCTGCATCTTCTGCTAAATATGATGATTCCAGTGCCGAACTGAGTTGAAATTTTGATGCTATTTTGACGCTCTTAAGATGGCAAATGTATTATTAGAATTTAAATTGAAACCATTTTATTTTAGTTCCTATTATGTACTGTGTAGAATTCAAGGTTGGACGTAGGATCGGAAATTTCGAATCAGGGACTCCAGTAACGTGGACGAACGAAACGAGCAACTCTCCGGATTTGCATCACTATTCGAATGACGAAATTACCTCGTTTCTGTACGAGCGACTCTATCCAAACGTGACATTCGAGACGCGCCCCCCTGTAGCTTTCCTCGAACCTTTCCCCATGTCCCCCCATGTCGGACGTTTCCCATTTCTCTGAGCACCCCGACCGCGTTTCGGACAAAACTCGCGTGTACCTTCGTGTCGAGAGCATTGTGCGTGCAAAAATGTCAGGTTGGTCGGCTCCGTGTCCGAAGGACCGATTCACTCCCTCCTGGCGCATTCGATAAAATTACGAAAGAAAACTGTGCCTCGGTGTTTCGCTCGCAGAGCGGCGAGCTGTCTGCGCCAACGTTGGCTCTCATTAGCAAGGAAGCGGTGGGCGAGCGAGCGAGCGAATGAGCAAACACGTACGTGTGCGTCCGCACGCGTATGCGAACGTCAACGTGCGTGTTCGCGCGCGCATCTCGGCCGTCATCAGCTGATGCGAGCGAGTCACCCAGTTGCGCGCCCGCGTTATCGCGCGCTTCTCGAAATATATTGACTACGCGTTATTGATAGTCCGGAGAAAGAGACGCTTAGCGGAGACGTGTCCATAGACACGTCCGCAGAAACGAGGGTCATTTTTCCGCCGACAAGCTTAGAAGTATAAAAACGAGAAACGTACCGGTTATCGTCGGTATTATAAAGGTGGGTTTAGTATAGACACGTGAGCGAGAGAGAACGCAAAGGACACAAAATAGAATGCATGCTTTTCTACGCACGCCTCGACCCTCACTCCTCACATAAAGGCAAACGCTCGGCTTAGATATATTATGTCTGTATGGTGTGTACCTGTCATTTAAGAGTTGCACGATGATTGCACGTGAAGAAAAAATATCGATTTATTTGTAGGTTCACGTGTTACGATGTTATTTTAAATACGAAGTATGTACTAATTATTAAGTCTTATGTGTATTGTGTATATTCACATTTTTTTGACGGTTACCAAGAGATTGTCCATAATATTTGTGACTTACAGATTTTTTGTCAGCCACAAAGAGCTTTCTATAAGCCGTTAGTTATAATGCACAAGGAGAATCCATATCAATCAGAGTCCTTCATTTCTCTCCTCGGGATATCCTGATTAGTAGATTCTCTCATGCCTTATGTATTATGATTAAAGGCTTACCGTAAAAAGCCTTCAAGATTTACGAAAAAAAAAAGACATTTACGAGTGATATCGCACGTCTCACGATACACGCATAGAATTACAATTCCGATCGTAAGTTCTTACGATTTTGTCTAGAATCGCGGCATTAATATTAACCGCTCGTGCGCACACATATACACACACACACACACACGTTCAGCGGCGGCGGCGGCTGGTAACGTTTCGCTCGGGTGTTAATAAAGTCGTTCCGGAGCGACCGGCGACGTTCTCGCGTGAAAATGTTTGCGAGCCGATTTTTCCAGCGCGCGGGACGGATCGACGGAGCGTTGCGCAATCCCACCGCTCGATCCGGTTTGTAAGCGCGGGCACAGCGTTTTACGCGCCCGTGCGTAAGGATTTTTCGTGAGCGCCGTGGAACGGCGCCGAGATAGTGCGAGTTTTCGAGATAGAAATATGGACAAACGGGTTGCCCCGGCGGCGGCTCTCGAGCGACCGCGCGGAGAACCGGTTTCTCTCACTCCTCCTGTCCTATCCGGTCCTGTATATACGCCGTGATAATTGCGGGAACTAGTTGAAACAATACGGCCTCCGACACACTGTATGTGTGTGTGTGTGTGTCTATGTAGCGTTTCTACGAGAGGCGGCCGCCTCTCCTCGTAGATCTCGCGTCCTCACACTTTGCATCTGTCCCGACCGGGAGTGTTGTGCCTCCGCACGTCGCACTCACCGGCTGGATTCCGCTCAATATTTATCAATTCCGCCCGATAGAGCCCGGGATTATTCTCGCATACGCGAGAAATAATCCCCCTCCCCTTCGCTCTCGAGTTGACAATCATTTATTTATTTCGGCGGATTTATATTTGTCCGATCAACGCGAGGACGACGTCAAATTTTACACGCATACGCGTTTTACCTCTCACGCGAACGAGCGAGCCCCCCTCCGCCCCCGCGCGAATATCCGCGTCGAAAACATATCTTTTCGCATACGATAACGGGCTCCTTTGTCGCTATGCGCGCTGGTATATTTACGCCGCTATTTGTGTGTGTGTGTGTTGCGTGCACCGTTTACCTCGCAATTATTTTTCAATAATAAACCGTCCGCGCGATGAATTTAGCGTCAATTATTCGTCCGCCGGGTGTGCACACGTGATCGTTTCAGTGATTTTCACATTGATTTCAAGTTTTATAAATACACTCGGTGAGAACGTGAACGATTGTTTCATGTACTACATCGCGAGATTTACGATTTCTTCGCAAATATTTCTTGTTTTCAAGCCTCCCGGCCAGAATATTTAACTTGTTTCTCTGAATTTTACGTACACTCGCGTTATTATCGCCGACGACTGAAGGAAATAATCTCTTTATCTTGATCGTATATTCTTGTTTTGGAAACCTCTCGAAAACACGCGTTTCTCAAAATATAATTACATCCTCTTCGCTCCCTTTCCTTCATTTGCCTTTTCAAGCCTTACCTCATATATACTTATCCGTCTTATCTTACCTTCTGTATAATTTCATTTCACAAAGTGCAATGCTCGTTGGCGCAATTATCTCGTCGTTTTTATCTCGTTTTAGAATTATCGAGAAAAACAGCTTCCGTCTTGTGAAAAATAACTTATCTCAGATTCGCGTCTTACACGTGCACGCTAATCTTACTTTCAACGAGAGGACGAGGATAAAAATTCGCGGAATTGAGCAGAGGGGATGATGATGGAAATAGAGAACGAATTTCTCAGGGCAGCAGAAAATATAGATAACGGCACATCCTCTGATATATATATATATATATATATCTCTTTTTATTAATTGCATTTCTCTGATGCAGATAAATTGTCGCAGATATTACAAATTAGAAATAACATCACATAGTAGTTTCTTAATACGAGAATACGTTCGCAAAAGGATCACTAACGTATCGAAAAGCCGCGGCGTTAGTCCGCGGCAAAACTATCGCGAAATCTACGTAATCGGACTTTCATATCGCGCAAGGTACAAAAATATCCAAAGCACAGCGAGCGTCGCGCAAATCGTTGCTGTGCAACATTACGAATCTCTCTCTCTCTCTCTTCCACTCAATCTTCGCGATATGAGAAACCATTATCCTCATCTCCACCCTTTCGCCATGAAGAGCGCGCATTTTATCGACCCTTGACTTCGCGGTGACCCGTTCTCGTTTAACTCCGAACAGTATGAAAAACGAGCCTGTTCATTTCAAAGATNGGGGGGGGGGGGGGAGTCAGAGGCGGGAAATTACCATCAATTCTGTCCTCGCACTGACAGATCCTTAATCGATCAGCTCAACAAATCTGATCTTTGCAATCCGCACGGACCGCAAAATATGGTTCGAATTAACGTGGAAGTTTCTGCAAGAAACCTTCGTACACACGACGCTTGTGCAAATTGTATTTCATACTGTTCGCGGCTGAGCCTCGGCTCAGTCCATCGGGTTGCGACAAGTCAAGGCAAGTCGCGACAATGTTGATATTCGATCGAATTTTTTCTCGCGTCGATTCGCGCCCTCCACGACTCACAGCGTGGATGAGAAGCTTTGCCCGCTCATGAGATCAAGAAGTTCTTCCTTTGACGGCTCGCGAAAAACAATCGCCTCGCAAATGGGAGCGACGTGTATGCGTCCCGCACGGTATGTAAAACGTAATTTGCAACGTCGGCGCGCGCATGGTCGTGCGTAACGCGACGTCGTTTCGCGGATCGATCCTGCCAAGACTCACGCCGTGTTCCTTGTCAACGGACAATCGCTACAAACGATAAACAATGAGAGACACAAGCAGCCGGGATCGGGCTAGGCTGCTTCGTTACGCAAACGAGAGAGAGCAACGGAACGTGTTCGCCGGCGCAACTGATCGGTAACTGAATTACATGTATATAGATAGATACATACATACATACATATATGTGTGTGTGTGTGTATATATGTATGTATGTATGTATTGTTCATATCTCGTGTTTGGATCTTCGCACAGTAGTTTGCTCTACGATTTTCGATGGTCCTCGCACTCCGGGAGACCACCGGGAGGGNGGGGGGGGGGGGGGGGAGGATAACACCTCAAGAACGTCGTCAGGGGATGTTTTATTCTATTTTACATACGATGTGTATATTTGCTTCGTAATGTCCTTATATTCCTCGCTTTAGGGAAAAACTTGTACTCTTTTTCTTGAGAATCCGCTTCGGACGGGTCTGCAATTCACGATGGGGTTCCAACCGCAATATTTCCGCAATATTTCATTATGCGCTGTGTAATATTTGAGAATTCATCGACGTATATGCAGACATCGATAAACGTAGCTTCGTATTTTCGAATGTTTCTTTTCTCTTTCTTCCTCACAGACAGAGCATTCTACCCCGAAATCTCCGCATCATGACTCGCAAATCGCCTAAAGCGGACTTTACACAATAAGATCGTAGCTCTCTATAGAAAAAACGAGATAAATTCTTGCAACACCTCCGATAAAACACACTCACGCACTGTAAAAACGTGATTAATAAGGATAATCATCGCCGTTTACCACACACGAAATTATTGTTTTATCACGATATATTATTTTAGAAAACACATACATTGTTCCGTACATCTCTTTTTAACCCTCGACAATATAAACAACGTCTGAACGGGCTTTCTAATAAGTTTTCGAAACTTCGCACGAGACCATTTTTCTCTCACACATACATTATACTCTATACGATTATAAAATTAAATATAAATAAAATAACCCCCGCAACACTCCCCTTGCGAAAATTTCTTTTTTCCATCCGCTTCAGCGGTTCTAAGCGGTTCCCTCGAGACTCGACTCGATTCTTTCGTCCTCGCATCGGAAATATGCGAGCTGTTTCGCGCGTGATAACTTTGAATTTATCATATAAAATGTATCATTATATATGTATATAGATATTTGCGATGTAATATATAAATTATGTTATATTTTTTATTTTTTTTTAATTTTTTTTTTTAGATAATGTAACACATACATGTATACGCGAGCATCATTCACATCGATTCGTATTCTCCACGTAAAAAAAAAAAGAAAGGATGTCTTATACTGTTCAGGATTAATCCTCCGTGTAAAACGTATAATATGCGCACTCACAACTCACCCACACGCACACTCTCTCTCTCTCTCTCTCTCGCAATTAACTAATATAACAATTTAAACGAGGCCGCGAGTATTGCTTCTCGTCGCTCAGCAATTGCGACAATAATTCCGACTTGCGACGTCGTTTGTAGCGTTTGTTATTAACAAATAATTGCTGATCACACCGTTAATATACAGGATGGACCAAGTCATCATTCCCCGAAGAGAAACCCGCGATCTTCTCGGATTTTCCGGACATTCATTAAAACCGACGTCGATGACAACAATGATGACTACCGACGCTTCGAAGGCCGAGAGTAATCTCACCCCCTCGTTTTCTTTCACTACGATTACATGTATGTGTATATACACACACAGACAGACACATATCACGAGATACTATTCGCGATCACTCCCGTGATACAAGTAAAGTGTCTTTCGGGGCAATGACTCTTTGTCACCCGGTATCGCGAAGTGCCGGCTAGCTTGAAACGGGCAACACTTTTACACCGTTCGTTTCGTTCGTTCATTTCGTTCGTTACATCAGCAAATCAGTCTTACACCTTCGTGCAAAATGCGATAGCCCACAATTTACACCGCGCGTTTAACTCTACACACGTGACGACTGTCTCCTCTCTCATTCTCACGTGACCCTTCACTTACTTCTCTTTTCTCCTTCTCCTTCTTTTTTTCCCCTTTTTTGTCATCGGAGCAGAAGGATGCATGGTGGATGTACGACTCGGAGGAGGATGGTGGGAAAGTTTTCTGGACGGGATTCTGTCTCTTCCCCCTTAAACCTTTAACCGGTTCGATACCATCATTTAGGTTGTTAAGCGGTAAGGACGAGTTGAACTCGTCCTCGTAGTTCCATCTCGCCTCCTTATTTCAAAAGGAAAAGAAAAATGAAACGATGCTCCCTTTGAATTTTTCTTTCGTCACGAGATATCACCGAAGTAGGATCGATTCTTCCTCCTTTGCTGTGTGATGTTCGGATTTCTTTTTTTTTTCTTCAAATTAAATTTCTTAAGAACGAGACGAAATTATATTTTATTTAACGTGATCCTTTTAGTAGCTTTCGAATTTTTACCAAGTGGTCTCGCGCAATTCTATTCTTAGATTACCTCCCGAGTACCTAAAGATCCCTTGTTTAACAGATGTTGACGTTACGAAATTACGCAAAATAGTAGAGCTCCTATACCGTAAACGCTATTTTTGATTCAGATCATTTGCCTCAAGAAGAGAATTAATCAAATATGCATTGAGCCAGCAAAATTCGGTAAAAACAAGTTTTCCTGTGTTCCTTCGTGTGAAATTATATATTTTCGTGTATATACACAAAATTAAATTTTGTCTCGTATTAGACAATACATTATAATTTATAATACATACAATGCGTATCACACAATACCGCGGGCATACGCGTATATAAACGTATACAAGTGTATAAAATTTCAATTAATTTTCTTCTATCGAACAACCAATTTCATTCTAAAAAAAAATATCGGTTATTCGCCTGACCGGCTCCTATCGAGAAAGAAACGATTCTACTTTATCGAACTTGACTAAAAAAACGCGAAATCAATCTGCAATTCAATTGAGTTTAATTCGATTCGGGTAAACGATAATCTCACTTTTCAACGGAGCGTTTCCATCCAACTGATTTAAAAATTACCACCTTTCTCGTAGGCAAAATCGCGAGAGATTTTCGACTCCGGTTCGCGCGAAGGTAAAACAGGCGTATTCTCGTGTTCCCGTGCAACATTTTTTTCCCTCACTGCCGATCCACTCAAGAAAAAAAGCCTCACACGCGAGTGTCTTTAACCTAAGTTCTAACGACAATCTTACACACATGCCTCTTTCTCATAATCATTTCGTAATTCTTAATATCACAATACTGCCGATGGGTCTCTAATCGCGATACGGCGAAAAAGCGACCGACGACAGAAGCCCGGACTAATTAAAAAGGAAAAGAGAAAAGACCAAAAGCGAAAGGAAAGATCAGCGACAGACAAATAACTAAGAAACGTAGATGAAAGGGGGACGCGAACGGATATTAACCGCAATGCATGGAAAAGCAGTAATACGTACGATAGTCAAACGTATATAATAATAATAATGAGATAGTAATATTAATAATAATCGTAAACAATATAGACTGCATCGAAGACGATAATAATGCAACGGTGAAACATTCACCCTTGTTTATAACTTGGATCTACTTTGTCCCGTTCAGCGCTCTACGAATGTGACCGGCTTGAGCCGGACTCGTCGGCGTTGATTTGCTCGAAATACTACGAAGCGGAGTTAAAAGCGGTATAAGTTTCGAGATGGACCGATTCCGATTACGCGCTAAGAGAGTTTACAATTTACTTATCTTGCCTAGCGTATTATATATATATATATATATATATACACACATACATACATATATATAATACGTACGTCATTATTTTGCATACGACTTCATATGATTATCTTCTTTATAGATATATATATATATATTTGTTACGCGATAACGTATCGTAACAAGAAAACGTTGATTTATTTTTTGTCCGCTCACTCACGAGTTGAGACGCGACCCCGAAGCAATCGAAGTTGTACCGCTTTGCTCTCCGCTGAAATTCGTTTTCCGTCGTGATTCCGTTCCGGAGGTCTTAAATTTCTGCGTTGATGATATTACGAACAAAATTCGAATTTTCAATTTTTCAAAGCACGACGGACACCAGATGCCGAAGCGACGGAGGTTCCGAGAATCGAAATTTCGTCGAAGAAATTGAAAAAAAAAAATTGTGAACCGACACTGCAGAACTGGAAGGCGAAACGGAGGCGTTGCCTCCGTCGCGACGTTCTGACGAGAGTTAAACAAACAGCGACAGACCGAGACAGTTGTCGGTTAATACACTCGTGTATTCGATATCGCGACACCGCGAGAGAACAGCTATTATTATTAATTTAATGAGATTTCTCCATAGTGTGACTATTATGAAGGGAGAAAATAACGAGGGGGAAGATCGTAAGATGGAATGACGGGATGGGGCTGAAAACTTTTGTATCGTCTACCGAACCAACCATACAGGACATCCCAGAAATAATGTGCATCGCGCGAGCAAACAAAATTTTTCACCTTCTTTATTTTTACCATTTCAAAAAGTGGATTCCTCCGCTGGGAGTCGAAAACTTTAAGGAGCTACCTTCTTGGGGAAGATATCTCGTCCGATTCCCTGCGTGAAATTGAAAGAGGAAAAAACTAAAATTTGAAGGTGTAAATTATCGTTCTTAATCTCTGAATATGTAATGTTCGATTTTCAAAAGTGATTACGATCATCAAAACAACGGTCTCACCGACGTCCATTCTTCCGGGTTGTCCTGCGGGATTTCCATAAAGGGTCATTAGTGGAAGGTATACTGCCACATTGTTCTAATATGATCATCATCCGTATTCAACGAAAGAGTGGAGAACGCGTGCGCTCTCGTGCCAAAAGCGACGCGCTCCTGAAAGATCGTCACTAAACATCCGACGCGACTATAGCTACCTGACTACGATTAATCAGTTAAAACGCGCACTCTAAAACTAATCATATACGCTACGTATCACGTGAAATTTGTTAAAAGTCTTATAATCACATTTCATCTTCGAAAAAACGAAGGCGCGAGCCTCTCCTCGCGATAGATCTGCTACTGCCAGAACTTGTCTCGCGCTATCACAATTATCGAACGCATAGGCCTCTCCCCGAATATAATATTATATTGCAAAAGTGACAGCAGGACACAAAAACCAAAGAGCCGACCGATCCACGGTCGTGTTGTCGTTAACCCTTCAATCGATTCGCCGCATTGCAGCAGCGAGAACGGGCCGGACTTACCTCGTCGTCTTCGCAATTTTAAGCCTCACGTCTCGAAATTGTTAGTTACCTTAAATTCTACGGGTTCTCCCTACCCCATTCGTGAATTCTCACTTTCGCAGAAACCAACATCCCGGATCTTCCCAATATCCCACGAATCTAATTGTTTGACTCGTAAGCAAACGTAAAAAAAGAAAAATCGCACGAATTGTAGAAATTCGAACTTCGAAATTTGGAACGTCTCAAAAATCCTACTCCCCGCTACGTTCCCAAACAAAAACTCGAACTCTCTAAAATGTCGAAGATCCCTCAAGTTCTCCAACTTAGGGATTCTTATTCACAATTTCCTCGTATTTCCTCGATTTCTTTAAAAACAACTAGATTCGCGGATCCTCCACTATAATGCTCAAATCGCCAAGTCTGCACATTATTGTTACTGGATCTTGCGATCGCCGACGTAGAATCTAAATTTCTCCCATCCCTCCCAAGAAAGACAACAGAGTTGCGTCCAAGCTGCAACCACTTGCTACCGTAATTTTACGCACCTACTTGCCTCTTATTTCCGTCAAGTAGACTTTCTTTACTAAACACGTAATCCATCATTTCCTCGGCGCGCATTCTGCTCGCGTACGTGAAGTTTGCGCGATTAAAGGGTTAAACGCAACACATACCGCATCAATACACAGCGACGATGTCCAAAATCTTCGGGATATCTCGCTTCCGTTGTCCCGATTCTTCTTTTTTCCTCCTCCTTTTCTCTCTAGTCTTGCGATATTGTACAAATTCGGCTGACACGCCCGAAGGAGGGGGCGACAGACTGACAAAAAAATGGCTGTGCACCGCCGTTCGCGCTCGTTCGGCGAAACGGGGAGTTCACGAACTTACAAAATCATCCGGGTTTGCATCCGGCGACAGGGAGACCCCTCAATGAGACTGCTGGTAGGACCTGTAGAGCTTCTTCTTCTGCAGGGTGAAGTCCCTGCTGATCATAATGGTGCCACCGCGCGTGAGATTTCTGGAAGAAGCGGATATCGATCATTGAGAGCTTTTTCCGATCGTATGATCGTACGTGGATTATTATCGGTAGAGATTATCATGTTGCAATGCGAACGTGGGAATAAGAGATAAGATAGGGCGAAGTCATCAAAGTGGAATCTAATCGTATGATCTGAATATGAGAGGAAGGCGATATCTCGTAATAATAATACTCCGTAATGACTCTTCACTTTGCTCTACAGTGATTTGAAATAGCAACAGCTGATACTGTGCGATAATATTAGAATAGTCTGGAATAGTCGATAGAATATGTGGAGTGAGTGAGTGAGTGAATGTGTGTTGCATATCTCTCTCCAGATAACAGTTTCGCATGGAACAGTAATTCCCAGGTGAATTAAACCGAATGGATCGATCTAACAAGAGCGAAGTGAAAGTCGAAAAGAGCCGCGAAATTTGAGCGCTCGTCGAGTGACACTCACTTTAAGAACTGAGGTAGCAAGATATGCCAGGACGTGTGGTCCTGTTTCAGCGTGAGATAAAGCTCGAACGTTGACACAGCGCTGGGGTCGCATTGTATTTTCGACAGTTTGCGACACACGCTGTCCGTCTCGAAACTGATGAACAGTGTGCAGCCCCTGTAACAAACGGAACGCACACATACACACTCGTTAAAATTTCCCGAATTTGACGAATTTAATTTCCGAGAATTAAATTTAGAACAGCACTTATTACCGCAAGCGTAGATTCTTTATTCTCATTGGGAATCGTAATGTTCGTGTGGATACATTTCTCGAATTAATTTGTCAACTTAGCATTATCATCCGCGATCGTTGTTTGTTGAAAAACAACTTCGTCGCGAAAGAGCTTTGCGCAATTTCCAAACGGACACTTGTTGCGCGAGATAATATTCGTTTTGACTCTCCCGAATTGTTCTGAAATTGTTGTTTAAACTTTGCAGCAGATTGCGAGGTATGCCAGCCGCATCGTAAACGAGCGAATAATGGGCATTTCTACTCACCGGAGGCCGCAAGGCTCGTTCTCTGCCATGTTAAGTACGTCTTTGGCTATCTTGGGCAGCAAGTCAGCCGGCAGCAGGACCTCGCCGCAAGCCAGCTGAGCGTGCTTAGCCCTCCTAAGCTCGACTTCCAGCCTCTTGGCCAGCGCCTGACAAGCACCGTCCAACTCGTCCGTCGCGCTTTCAGCTGTAAAAATTAATTAAATGGAATTAAGCGCGTGCTCACGACCGCCCGTTGAGCAAGCGAACGTTATCATTAAAGCGGTAAGTTGAAGAGAAAGTTGCGAGTCACTCTTTTTTTTCTTTCATCTTCGACTTTAGGCGCTTCTAGCTATTATTATTATTCGCCCAATTAAAGTGCTGTCGAATAATCGATAAATAATCGTATGGTCGATTCAAATTGATTAGCTCTTACATTTAAATTAACATTTTAGCGCACGTGTAATTTATATTATACGGTGAATTGATCGGTAGTGATCGAATTAAAATCTATTCTCGGTAATTCTGACCGGAAGGAGGAAACGCCGTCGAATTCGCGACAATCGAAACATACGCGCCGATGAGTCTGGATCTACCTCGTATGTAATATCTCTCGTAAGGTACACAAGTGTACACGAAGTGCGAATCTGACGTAATCTTAGAACAACATTTATCAACGAATATCTCGGGGAATGCGAAGGTAATCAAAAGTTCCGGCGAGATGGAAAACATGTTTTGTTGCTTGAAGATTAACTTTATCTATCTAAGTCTCTGTTTGACTCGAACGTCATCTTTTATCATTTTCACTCCACGATCTCAACTTCATCGCGATTCGCCGAGCCCCGGCTCCGCCGATTCTAAGTGTCAACTCGATGTCGAATTCGTGTTTAATTTTACCGCAGCTGTGGAAACCCGATTAAATCGAGCGCTGAGCTCATCAGTTGATCCACCATTAAACTGTACGCTTGTAAGTGTAACACAACAAAGAAGTATCGTCAGAAAAAAAAGATGCTGACGCAACATACACATTCGCGCACGTACGCCGGCAGAGAGAGAAAGAGAGACTCATCGCACAATAGACGTTTCCACTTTTCTGATATCAGTTAATCCGCGATCGTCAAAGGAACATCTGAACTAATATATTCGATTTCCCGTCATGTTAATTACTTAGTCATCAATTTCGAGCTTGATTCATCCATTGTTCCTAGCAACCGGCGCAGACTAGGTGAGGTGAGTCGCCGGAAACGTACGATCGTCTCGTCTGACCTCGATCTTTTATCTTTGTCGTCGTCGGGCTCGCTCATTTCGAAAATCTCTCAAGTTTTTCGCCGTCTGTTTCGTTCGTTATCAAGAAAACGCGAAAAAAAAACTTTTCTGGAGGTGATCTCAATCTCGACGTTATCGGAACACGGGGGAGATCCATCGCGGCGAAATTTGCAAATTTGCTCGCTTAAAAAAACGAGTCGTCATTTCCCGCCGGGTCCCGAAGCCTCCAACTTACGTCCCACACTCGGAGGAGCAATTAATTTTGAACCAGCTGTGTTTGTATATCCAATGCAGAAGCGAAAACGTCGAATTTCGGACACGGAACTTGCATGTATAAACACGACGAGGGACATGGGACGCCCGGCGAGAGAGAGGAATAAACGCGTCGTCGCGGCGAACAATCGAAGAACACGAAGGCGAGGAAAAATGACAGCGAAGGGCATCCCCCCCTTTCCTCCTCATACGATCGGAAGAGCGACGGTGACGCAACTATACTTAGCGTTTTCACCAACGAATCTTTCACGAGGTGTCCTCTACAAAATCGCACGCGCGTCGCGTTCGAAACATCTCGTTGGAAACGACGAGCCACATTTTCGTACACCCGACGAAACGTCGCGTTGCGAGCAAAAATCAGCTGACTCCGGCCGGCGTTGTCAGCTGAGAACAACGGGCTCGCTCGCTCGGTGGGTGAGCAGGACCGACACGCTTGACGGGCCGGAGCGAACAATCGAAGGCGAACCGGTGCCGAGAGAGAGGAGACACAGACCGAGGAAAAGATAGACAGAAAGAGAGAGTATTAAACGCTTACCTCTGGTGTTGCTGAAGTCCACATTGACGGGACACGGCAAGACCTCCATGATTTCGCGAGAACGCCCGGCGATGGACGCACACTGGCACGGTCCTGCTCGTTGTCGTTCTCGATTGCTGCTACTCTTGCTCCACGGGACGACAGCGCGAGAGATCTCGAGAAAGATGACGAAAGCAGCGGACGTAGAGGAAACGAGTTATACGAGAGACAGAGCTCGCGGCAGCGTCGACAACGATCCTCCGGGTGAATGATATGAGATGCAGTGCGACAAAGGTACGACTAATCGACGATTGCGAGACCGTTCGAGTGAGACTTTCACCTTTCAGCTATATATGTGTGTGTGTGTGTGTGTGTGCAAAATGACAGGATCAAACGATGCGAACGCACCGATGTCACTCGCTCGACTAACCGGCCGCCGGCCGCTGACGCGACTTATATACACGCGACCCCCGTCGCGTGAGCCCGGCACCCCCGGCGACCCGCACCGCCACCGCACGACCGCCTAGCAACACCGCCTACGTGAGGTTCGACACAGTGTCCGCGCGCTTCGGCCGTTTCCGGCCGCGGTCGCGCCGGCCTTCGGCCGCGTTCGGTTCGCCGATATACAACAAGCGAGCGTGCGAGGCGATCCTCCGGAGGGGACCTATCGCTGTTGCCGGCGGCACACCGGTTTTTTTTCACCCACGACGCTCGTTTTGTTT